TGGCCAGCTCCCTGCGTTCTGGTGCGGGGCATTGAAGCCAATGGCACCGCAGCCATGCCCCCGCCCGCAGTGTGATCGCCTGCACCAGAACGCATGGCACATCAATGCTTACCTTCCGGTCCAGTGGTATGAGAAAAAAAATACTGCAAGCACTATTTTTTCTGATCGCACTGGTCCGTTGATGCATTCTGGTGCGGGCGGGGGGCGTGGCTGCGGTGCCATTGACTTCAATGTACCACCACACCCCCTTCCCGCCCCTGAACGCAGGGAGCTGGCCGGGATGAGCTACAGTGCTTTCCAGCAGCGAATCGAGCTGGAACGCATTGTATATGGTGTGAACAAGCCCTTACACTTAGGAACACAGAACCCAACTGAACAGAGATCCCATTATCCCTTTAAATTGCCTTTCACCTGGAACCGATATGTAACTTTAAACCTGTCTGTGATTGATGCACCATTGGAAGGCCCTATTCACACTAAGGATGCACCGAAACATTTTGGCCGAAAATGGTACTTTGGGTAAAATGCAGAAAGTACCATAACGGCCGAAAATTCTGTGCATCCCTAACTTCTCTCCTCCCCGTTGGACGTCGGTCTGTGTTCTGTTTGATCCCTACTGCTCTCCCTTTCCCATGTCGGTAGAGGCAGTAGGGATTGAAGGGGACATAGACCGGTGTACAGCAGGGAGGAGAGAAGGGTTCAGGAGGCCGAGTGGGGAGGAGACAGCTGTCACAGAAGCCGAGCTCTCCTCCCACCCCGCCCCGCTCCTGTGACAGCAAGCCAGGATGGAGAGCGGTATACAAACACTCAGCGATCAGCTGATCGCTGATTGTTTGTAAATAACTGTAGGTATAGTATTCTTACTGTGTCCCCAGTTATGAATGAATAGGAAAACCTCAACATCACTTCCTGTTCATTCATGATTATGGACATAACTCACACTATATCCACAGTTTATGAATGGACAGGAGCACTCAGTGTAGCGGCTTCCTGTTCATTCATAAAAAGGGCTGCAGAATAAGAGATTGAGGACTCTCTGTGTCAAATCTCTTTTTCTATTTTAAAAGGAAAATATCAGGGGTCTGTTTAGACCTCTGATATTTCCCCAAAGCCCCTGACAGTAAAGTAAAAAAAATAAAATAAATGAAATAATTAAAAAATATTTTTAAAAGGTTGGGGGGAAAAAAACATAATTTTCGTTTCTGGCCTGACAAATTTTTTATTTTTGCTTTTGGTCTAAAAATTTAATTTCAGTGCATCAGGGGTGTGGAAATTAAAAAGAAAACTACTTGTTCGAGGACTAAAGTGGGGGCCCTTTATAACAATCTACGTACTTATGACACAAAAAATAATCTTAGCCAAAACTGTATTTAAACGTTCTAATTTGCAAGCGAAATTCAGAATACATGGCAAAGGGCAGCACTGGGCGGCAGTATGAAGTACAGGCAGTACACTCGTAACGGCGGAGGGAAAGGACTGTTTGCCAAAAGGTATAGCAGGGGGGGAGAGGGGTCCAGATTTGAGGGGGTCATTTCATTTCCCAAACTACTTCCTTTAATGCACCACAATATGGCACACAGTGGAATGGGGGCAGTCCTCAGCTACAAACACAATACGTTTATTTGCATGCAAGGGCAGTGGGGTTGGTTTTAAATTTTTTCATTTTTATTTATAATTTGTATTTATCTTATCTTTTACTTTATTTTTTCATTTTTTTTAACTTTATCATTTTATTTTTTTAATTTACTTTTTAAATATTTGTTATAATGTTTTACTTTTCTTTCATTGATATTTATTTTACTATTTTTGTAACTTTTTATTTACTTTTTTAATTATTATTTATGTTATTTTTTACATTTAACTTTATTGCTATCACACGGGGGCTAACAGAGCATAACAACAGCAGCAACGCATGTAGCTGGCTGGAAGTGCACGCCAGTGGCATACGCTGTGGCTTTGCTTCTACCATGGATGGAGTAGCGGTTAGCGAGGACATGCCATCTGATCTTTGCCTTTCGGGGGTTCAGGGTCAGGGCTCCATAGAGGGATCACATCCCTGAAACTTTAAATCACTGTGTGGCTCACACGCTGCACAGTGCCAAGCACAGGGTCTGGTGACTGAGCACATTACAGGCCAGCAACGCATTTTCTGTCCTGCGGGGTCTGGGTACAATCAGCAATGGCTCTGCTGGAGATAAAACTAATCTGATTATCTACTGATGGCACCACAGTGGTTTAGAGCAGCATTAGGGAAGCCTGCTTAAAGAATCTTGCAAATAAATAAAAAAAACTACTGAAAAAAGTATACTTCTCTCAGAGCAAAGAGAAGACATCCATCATCTAAACCAGGACTGGACAAATCCCAGGGGCCAGTGCTCCTTGAAAATGACAGCTGGCTCCTAACTTTTGAGGTTTTCTCTAGTTCTCAATGGACCATTTGAATTTGCCCACCCCTTAGTGATCTAAGAACACTAACAAAAAACTTGAGGTGCCCACACACCTTGCGATACTCGTACGATAATCGCGGTAAATCCCGCAATTGTATAATTATCGTAAGGTGTGTGGAAGCCGTGCGACCTCTACTACTGTTAGAAACAGAATATCTTGCTGCACTCCTTACCGCAAAACCCAAAGCTGTGTGGGTGCTTGTAGTGACCACGGAGGGCACCGTGTATATCACAGAAAAAGGGAAATAATGTCACCAGCACACCATTTTTTAAAATCAATGATCCATTTTAATGGCATATTGCCATCCAACACAACACAGCTTTCGGAGTCATTCTGAGCCTGATGAAGGGGACCCCTTACGGCCCCGAAAGCGCTTGTGTTGGATGGCAATATGCCATTAAAATGGATCATTGATTTTCAAAAATGGTGTGCTGGTGACATTATTTCCCTTTTTCTACTACTGTTAGGTCGCACGACGTTTATCTTGGGAACATGTTCGAAAACCCGCCGAGCATAGTACGATGTTCGGCGGGTGTGTAGCATGTTCGTAAGATAAAAGCGCACACTGCCCGTTCGGCATTGCGGTCATCGGAAGCCTGCCCCTCAGGTTGGCGCGGCTTCCGATCATCGCAAGTACGATCTGCCTGTCCAAGATAGGCAGATCGTACGTTTTTTTAATTACCTTACTTACGTCTTGCGATGGTTGTAAGGTGTGTGCCCAGCCTAAAGGTGCCCATACACTTTACAACCCTTGCAAGACTTTTGTCTTGCGAGGGTTGTAAAGTACTTTAAAAAACTTAGGATCTGCCCATCTTGGACAGGCAGATCGTACTTGCGACCATCGCAAGCCCGCCCCCCTGAGGGAAGTAGGAAGTGATGCTGAACGGGCAGTGTGAGCGTGCACACACCGGCCCGTTCGCCAGTCATCTCTCGGCTGGTTTTCCAACATGCTCGAAATACAAAAGTCGTACATTAGAAACGGTTGCACGTCTCCCATACACTGCACGATTATCGTACGATCGCAGGATTTCCCGCAATTCTCGTACGAGAATCGTGCAGTGTATGGGCACTTTTAGACAGGCTGGGAGTGGGAGAGGTTATTTAAGGCTGTCTTGCATCCTTTACTACTTAGCCAGTATCCAATTACCTGAAGGTAGCTTCATAACCCAGTGGTCTATGAATAAAAGTGACACTAAACTTAGGAGTTAAATCTTAAAAATGCATTCAAGTACCATAACTATGAATAAAAATGTATCTTATTTGTGTATCACTCAGCTGTGGATCTTCAAATCATCTCTGAATTGGTGCATCTGGAGGGTGGCTTCTTTTGTTCCTTGTGCATGTTGTAAAGTAGCCACCGCTCCAAGCTCACTCCTGTGATGGACTACAATCTCATGTTTAGTTTACTAATTTGTATTGAGATTGTAGTGGATGACAGGAGCGAGCTTGGAGCAATAGCTACTTTACAATACACACACAGGCACTATGGGGAAAAAAAGTAGCCATCCTCCAGAAGGACCGTCATGAGAGCCAAGAAACTAGAATTTTTAGAAGAAGAGGTCAGCAATGGCAGCTTCTTACTACAGATTTCTTATAACAGGGAAGACATATGAAATAAGAAGCAGTTGAATATTATTTTTTGTTTTTAGCTAGGAGACCGCTAGGGAGGTCCTGTCTGTCAGGAAACCTGTCTGGACAGAAATTTTGGAAACATTTTTAAAGGTTAAAATTCAAGGACTGTGATCCCTATCCTTGCTTCATTACTTTGTTCCAGCCAAAGTCTCAGAGTGGCCTCTACAGTCTAAACCAAATATTGAATTTATAAAAGATTTGTTTGAATATTCAGTATAAGGGCTTATGCACACAGACACCTGGGGTCGTAAATTTGCAGCCCAGGAGCCACAGGTGCTGCGTACAGCCGCCCACAAAAATCAATGGTCGCACAAAGCTCTAGGCGGGTATGCGCCTGTACTTGCATAAACATGTGCATGCGTAAAGACATATGTCCCTGTGTGGAGACAGTCTCTAGCCCCAGGCGCCCATGTGTATGAGCCCTAAGCCTTTAATTCCAGCACAACGTAGGATGCAATTTCATATACAGTAAAGATATTTACATTTGCCCAAACCATTTGTCCAATCAAAGCAAATGTTTTATCATTTTGTAACACTGCTACTGCTGAAGTAAAGTCCCTCTCACTTATTAGTAGAAACTAAAGCAACACCTCAATTTTTTGGTTTGTTATAGAGTGGGGAAGAAAGAACCCGTCAGATTTTACTGCTGTCTGCCTCCCTGCTGGTAAAATTCCCCCTTTCTACTTTTCTGGGTGACAATGGTCATCAGGACAGGAGTGATTGTAAACACCAAGTTTTAAGAGCACCTCCCCGAAATTGCCTTTTTCAGGTTGGGATCCCTGACAATACCTTTACAAAATTCTGTTGTGTAAATAATTTAAGCATGTCACATGGGGGATCTCCTATGAAAATAACAGTTAGTCAATTCAATAGCCAGCGTCAGCATAGAGACAACACAAAAGTAAGCCATGTCCACCAACCTTGCCACAGCCAGGAGGCCCCCACAAGATGGCAGAGGGAATGTCATTGGCTTGTAACAGTTTTCGGAGCATGGCGTCTTCTCCTAGAATCTTATCTTGACCCATGTAATCTTGCAGTTTGCAAGGTCTCAATTTGTCCGCTAGTGGTTTGCCATCCAGTTTCTCCGCCATAGTCTTCTCTTTTGGGTGGTCTTGTATGTGCTGGCTCTGGTGCGCCATTTGCTGTTCTCTCTTTATAGCCTCAGAACTGGATCCTGCATTGATATCTTTCCATTTATGATTCATGTCAGTCCTCTTAGGGGATGTAATGGGAAAAAAGGGGGACTTAGATGGGGTCTCCTCATGTAAGCGTTCAGCGGTCATATGTTTCTGGAACACTGAAAAACTGGGCGTTGCTGAGCCAAGGATCTTCCCATAGGTATCGGCCCCCTCTGTGCCCTCGTTTGAGGAGAGACGCCTTTTCTTAGGGATCGCCCCGCTTGGCTTCATGTCCAGGCAACCGTCAAGATGGCTGTTGATGGCCGCTGTTGGCATCTCCTGGGCACAAACAGGGCATTTCACTGTGCTTTCTGAGCTGCTGCTGTCAGCCATACCTGGCACCTCAGTGCTAAACAAAGGAGCCGCTGCTGGAATCTGATTCCAGATATTTATTATGTGTTCAATTGTGTACTTATAATATTTGAAAGCACAAAGGTGTTAGGATAAGACTGAATAAATAAACCCAGCTTATCATTGATAAGAAACAGACACTACAGCAGCCTCTCAATCAACACGTGCAGCTCCCAGGTATTGCTGTATATACCATCACACATATTATAACGTTATAGACACATCAACAACGTGTGAAGGAAGAGCAGAGAGGGTCAGTGGTGAGAGGAGCACGATGCAGCACAGCCTATATAAAATACCTAGTATCACTGGCTCTGTTTAGTCAGGAATTCAGCAAAGGTGACAATGTAAAGAATTCATATAGGATAATAATGTGACTAGACCGTGTTGCCGCGGATCACACACATCATGTGCAGCTTCCGGTGTCATAGGACAGCCCGAGGCAGTATGGGAGCCGCTCTGCTCCTCCTCTATGGCGCCGTGCCTGCTGCTGCTGTTATCAGAGTACATTGCTCAGCACTGTGTGGGCTACAAAATACCGAGCTGTGTAACATCAACCAATCTTTAATAGCGCTGCCTGATTCACCACAGCAAAGTGATATAACTATACATGAATTCCAGCCACATTTATACTTAAAGAAGAACTCTGGGGGGAAAATATAACTACCCCCACACTGCAAAAGTTAACTGCTTGTTTTGGTCTAGGGGGAAAATTTTAAAAAATTAAACCTTTTTTTTTTAAATTCACCAGAGAAGATCCACTTCTACTTGTGTAGCTTTTTTTTTCATCCCATTTTATTTTTTAAAGCTTTCTTTGCCTAGGAGATTGCAAAGGAAACACCCATGCATGTGTGTGCGTGCTCCCGGCCGGGAATAAAGGTGTGCTGCGTGCGTCCATTGACACGCACAGCACTTGACAAGCCACACCCCTGTTACTGCCCTCCCTCTTCACAGTATCTAGGTGCAGAAGCCTATCCCTCCCCTCAGTGGCCTCGGGATCCCTCCTCTCAAACCGCAACACATTGCAGATCGTCTGGGAGCTAGCGGCGGTAAACGCGGAGTGTAGCTAAGTGTTTGGAGGTGAGGGACATAGAAAGGTAGCAGGGCGTTTTTTACCTTAATGCAGAGAATGTATTAAAGCCTTGGTTCTCAACTGGTGGGTCGTGACCCAAAAGTGGGTCGCGACCTCGTGTTCTGTGGGTCGCCATATGCCTTCCACTGTTCTACGTGTGACACTCTCTCTCCCCCTAGCGCAGCACAGTTTTTGCGCCAAGCAGCCATTAAAAATATGCTGCCCAGCGCTGAGTGGTTGGCTTGAGGTGGAGTGGGCTGGAGGTATGGCTGCGAGGTAGCTCCATCCATACGTGCATCGCTTACAGCTGCCTGGTGTGTCCTGTAGAGGTGCCTGGACCGGATTGACGTCACTTTCTGGCACCTCTACAGGGTGCGCAAGGCAGCTGTACAAGCACCAGAATGCTCGGTACCCTAATGTCATGTGTTCCATTGCAGTGCGACTTGCGTTGCAACTTAATGACCAAGGACAAATGTGGGTCTGGAGGTTACACAGGTTGAGAACCACTGCATTAAAGTGACATTTGAGTCACAAATGTTTCCTCCCCCCACCATGCTGCTTTAAGGACTTACCTTAAATGATGCCTATTGATCCGATCATCTTCCTCCCAGTTGAGTTCAGCAATCCCTCCAGCGCTTGTGCCGGTCTCTGATCCAGCGCAGACTGCTGTCTCTTCCTGTCCCTTGGTGTCTATCCGACGTGCGAGCTCATGGCTGCATGCATTCAGCTACACTGTGTCTCTCTTTTCCCACCCCCTGAAGATCTCTACTGAGCATGCGCCTACCCCATCTGGAGCAGCTGTGTAGGATGAAGCTTTAGACAGAAGCGAGCGATGGAGACACAGATAAGTTGTTACCTTTTTGGTAACTTTTTATTTTTTCAAAATGTTTTTGCATATATCTTGCTTACTAGCAGTAGACATATGCAACAAAAAACGAGAGTTTAATTCTACTTTAGGATAAAAAACAAATAGCCTTTAGTAGTACTTTGTACCTGTGAGGGTTAATAAAGGTTTTGCCCAGAGTTCTGCTTTAAAGAAGAACAATGGGGAAATCTAAACCTAGTTGCCTAGGGGGCTCAAATAAAGCAGGTTTAATTCCGGTCCCCGCCGCCTCTTCTCCCCAAGGCTTCTGCGGTCTAAGGACCGCTGATGTCATCATATCTGAGAAGTGAGAAGTCTTGGGATAAGGCTGTGCTCCTCAGCTCCATCTAGTGGTAGGAATGGTATGTAAACAGCAATTGTCTAGCTTTGCACAGGGTGGAATATTTATACAGCAGCCCCTATGAGTTTATATTGAAAAATGTCACATATAGAGTGGAGAAGCCAAACACTATGTTATAGCCCCCTTATAAGTCATTGATAATCCTATTCACATTCAGTTCCCACTGTGCTTTGTGATGTGCAGCCCCCCACCAGTTCTCATATTCATCCATCAGCAGCCCCCAATGTAAAGTCCACTTATATTCCATCAGCAGCCCCCCAATTTAAAGCTCACTTATAATCCATCAGCAGCCCTACAATGTAAAGGATTCCCTAGTTGCTCTAATAAACTTGCTTCCACTTATTGCCTGGAACTGCTCTTTAACTTTCATCTTAACACGTGTAACATGACATACATAAGACCTTCTGTGCATTGTACTGTAAACTAACTTAGATAACATTTGTCATGAGTTTTAAAGTCTAGACGTTTAAAGCCCAACCGCACCTTCGTATAAGTAGTCCACCATGTTTAATAATAGAAAATGCAGCTTTTGCTGCAAAACTTCTATTTGCCAATGTTCCCTGCCGATTCACTGATCTGTGATCTATCACTGGTCTTTTTCGGTGCTGAATGACATCCAACGTTAACCAACCCACTTCCTGTCATGGACACACCCTATGGAATGCATTATTACACTGATCTGGCCCAGTTCTACCGCACAGAACAGCATTATATCAGTGCCACTCTGTACAGGAGTAAGAACTGTCCACCGCTGATGGTAGAGGACAAAAGTTAGGACCCCTGATGACATGTAAGCAGCCAGAAGATTCCAGAATTTAAATTACTGTATAAATAATAGGAAAACAGGAAAATTAGTATAATAGGAAAACAGGAAAATAAGGAAAAAGATGGGAAGGGAAAGGGGCTTCAGGGGGGTATGGGGTTTCGGGTGGGGGTGTATGGGGCCTCTTAAAACCTGGAGTTGGGCTTTAAATTATGTTTGTGAGTTAGACAGCAGTTAGGCAACATTGTTACATATGGCTCATATTTGGAAGTATAAGCAAACCTGGACAAGTTTGCTCTCTGCTGACTGCAGTTCAGAGATTCTTTTGCTGTCTCTGGACCAGCGCTCAGTGAGAAAGAAGAGAATGCCAAGGCCTAAAGACTGAACTCGACAGACCCTGTGTCATCTTTCAGCTGAAATTGCACTGTAACCAGTTTCCTTGCCAAAGATCTATGTTGATTCACTTCTGTCAATATCGAAGAATGTGATGAAAATGTTTAATACATATCATTAACAGCTCTAGGAAAATATATTCAAATTAAGTCTAGCTCAATAAACATGCTGAATATTTGCCAAGATTTATGACTGACAAGCCTAAACCTTAATTGTTGTGCACACTAGTATACTGTTTAACTGTAATATTATAAGTAAGATTGTTCTTAATACTTCATGTCAATTTCATACAAAAACATACCAAAATTGCTAGTACCTTTGTCCGGTCCATACATAGTCTGTTTTCTCTCTCTAAACTGTATTCTGGAGCTACCATATTTATCAATTATTTCCTAGGCGGAGCTTATTACTGGTTTAATTTTGCCCTTTTTGTCTCTAATGTCATGCAAAAATTCAGACACAACAAGATATGTATGCAGCCCAGGGCCAGAATAGATGATGATTGCTCCCCGCCGGGGAGTTTGGACTGTCTTATCAGTTTGTCAGATTCTGTTTACACCTCATTACAGTCTAAATGAGGAATTCCCAACCTTTTTTCAGTGTCAGCACCATTTAGAACTATGCAAAATCTCGAGGCACCCCAGTCTAAAATGTCAAAAAAGATGTCAAAAATGACATGTGGTTCCCCCCAAAATCTAATCTAGACCCTTATCATAAATAGAGGTATGGTTTGGATTTTAAGAGGGGACCCCATGTACAAAACTAAAAAAAAATGATGTAAAGTTCCCCTATTCACATTAGCGTTCCCCCCTTTCACACCAGGAGCCCCCTTCAAAATCAGAAACCCCTCTGCCATGTTCCAGCAGCCGCACTGTGGTGGAGATTATAACTATATATCATTATATTTCTGATGTGAAAGGGGACTTCTACCTTAGAATCTCCACCACACTGCGGCTGTGGGAGCATGGCAAAGGACAGGAAGCGGAACAAATCTGGACGGAGGTGGACTTCTCTGCCTCTTCTGGATGCTGGCAGGGATCCTAGATGCAGCCGCTCTGGATTAGCATCAATCGTGTCCATGGTTATGGTGGCTGGCTCGCAACACCTTGGAAATGTATGATACGGTATGACAATTTGAAGGCATCCCTGACAAAGCCAGAGGGCACCCCAGGTTGCCAATTTACCCTGGTTAAAAAAGGCTTTTCTACATCATGATGCTCACTTGACTCATTTCCTATCAGTCCTGCCTCCACTAAACGTATAGAGTAAAGGTACCATACAAAGAGCCTAATGTAGAAATAATTGTTACTGGGTATCTAAACCCAAAAACACAAATATATTGTAACTTACCAGTCCTTAGACAGAGCAGCTGCATTAGTGTTCTTATTTACAGGATTATTGGGGGAAACCAAAGGGAAAAAGCCTGAAAAAACACTTTCTGTTTATTGTGAGCTACACTCATTCACTGTTGTGTCTATGGAGGGAGACATGGTTGTCACACAGGATGCTCTCCTGATTTAGACTACAAGCAATTCTTCTTCTATTCTTTATCTCC